AGTCTGTGAAAGGTCCCAAAAGGGATAATAGACGCATTGTATGGCTGCGAAGAAAACTTTCTGGTTTAGTGATTTATTTTTGCCGCGCATTTACAGCAGTTAAAAGGGATGCAGCGTTCTAAACAAGTATGTCACATACTTGTTTAGAACGCTGAAAGGGGTACAAATTGTCAACAAAAGATATATGAAAGGGGTACCATTTCCGTGGTCTATAAAAGGGTAAGGGGTTGAACCTCGGAACGGAGCCTCCCCGTACAAAATTATCATAAGTTAGACGAAGATATCCAACTTTTTAAGGATTGCAATGGGAAAGTGCTCCCTGAAACGAGGATCTGATGGCCGGAGATGACAGAGGATAACAAGGGTTCACCAGAGCTTAGTATTTCAGACCAGGGTTGACGAGGGCTGACCAAGTCTTGCAGAAACTGACAGAGGGTGGTAAGGATTGAGAGAGACCAAACTTGGCTGACAAGAGCTGACAGAGGCTGGCAAGAGTAGACAAATTCTATCAAAGCCTTGGAATCGAAGATCTTCAAAGGGCGGAAAGAGGACAAAGGATGTCAAGGGCTGACAGAACCTGGTGAGCCCTCGTCGTCCATCTCTGTTAGTCCTTGTCAGTCCTTACCTCTGTCAGCCATTGTTAGCCGTAGTCAGCTTTTGTCAGCCCTTTTTGCTTTCTTGGCTCTTCCCAGCTATTGATAACCTATGGTATCCTATGCCAGCCCTTGTCAACCTTTGTCAGTCCTTATCCCCCCCGGGAGGGGGGAGAGGGCGCGCTACTTGACAAAGCTTTGTACCATGCCATAGGAAATACAGCCAATCAGAATACAGAAAAGTTGTTGTATATTCGACGTTATTACACCCAATCTTCCCATCGAGCGCTGCGATCTTATTCCCGCTGAAATTATGTAAGCTGCCACATTTCCAGCTTCAAGTCTTGTTTCAGCCATGTCAGAGCCAAATTTTTCCCTTGGCATTAATTTTGAGGTCGAAAACATAGCAGTAAATGAATACTTAAGCGACAAAACGCAGCTGGCGGAACAAAAATTTAATAATTTCGTTGAAGAACAAAGAAACCAGAAAACAGTAAAGAAAAATAATTCGGATGTTATCAAGTTTGTCAAATTTATTCAGGAGCCTCGTTCATGTATTTTTCTCGGTTTCAGTGTTTTAAACTCAGTCCAAATTTAGGAACCTTTTAACAACGTTGAATTTTTGACTTCTATTCTTTGCATTTTCTTTCATGAATTTCAATCAACTAAGATTTTGGGTGGGTTTTTAAATCTGCTGTTCTTTTCCTGCCTAGAGTTTTAAACTCAGTGTGAATTTTGCTAGCGTTTGACTAAAATAACTTATTTGTCATACAATTTTTCTACTATTATGGATAGGCCATTTACACGATGACGTCATGTTACTACTACGACCAGAATCCTTCAGGGTTTTGCTTTCTTGTGCAGATTACGGCTTTTATTATTTAAGCCTCGCTGGGAATACCAAAGTTAAATAAGAAAGGAAAAAAAAGGAAAAGGATTCTGGTCGTAGTAGTAAAATAACGTCATCGTGCGAATAGCCTTTTTTAATTAATAAACATTTTGTTAGGAATATTTATTACTAAACAATTTTAGAGTTTTAGAAACGGTGTCATCATCTTTATAGGCAATAGGAAACCAGTCCAGCAAAAACGAACTGAGTTTGCTGGTCATTTTGTCCTTTGACCGGCCAGTTTTCAGCCCTGTCCGGAAAGCGCTGTCAGCCATTTCAGCCCTGTTTTTTTTGTCTCTTCTACATGCTTTGTCACCATGAATACCTGCAATTTCGCAGGGAACAGAACGGTCACGTCCCAAAAATACCCGAAAACCATCCTATTCTTTTAACATGGAGTTTAAGTGAACACGTTTTTTCCACATCAACAGGTCAAACCTTTGCTAAATTAAAGGATGATGGCACAACGCAAAAAGGGTGATACACAATTTGAACGCCTGCATGTTAGAAAGATATGCATGCCACCTGATAGCACTTCACAAGGAGTTTTCACCAGCAGTAAAGGTATTGTAACCTTTTTTATTCTAGTAAAAATTAGTAGTGTCAACATAATAGGCAACGATGAGTTTACTAATGTGGAACTTTCTGTCTTTCGCGCTGTCTTTCCCAGGTATACAAATGCTCAAACGTATTATACTAATAGGAAGATTATGTTTCCGGCGCTAAAAGCTAACATAAGACGGGCAACAAAAACATGCAAGTTGTCTTGCAACACTGCTGCATTTTGGAGGGGGGGGGGGGGGGGGGGGTACACAACAAAGTTTTATACGTGGAGGTTCCGCCCTGAGATCAAACCCCTTAATCTTTTATGTGCCATTTTTGAAAGAAAAGGTATCCCTTCTGAAAAATTTCATTAACAAAAGGTACAACTTTTACATACCTAGTAAATCCTTTTCAACTGCTGCAAATGGGCTGTCTTTGAAATATGAATAAATCACAAATCCGGAACGTTTTTGCGACTTTTCTTGCAGCCATAAAATGCATCTGTTAGCCCTCTTGGGCTTTTTTGAATACCGAAATGACAGATTTCCCTACCCTTTTTTATGCTTCAAATACTGAAATCCTTATCCTTTCATTTGCTTAAAGCGTGAAAAAGGGACCCCTTTCGGGCGGAGCCTCCCAGTATAGGCCATTATAGGGAGCACCCCCCTCCCCCCGGGAGTACGGGTTCTATAGTTAGCAAGTATGTGAAAGCGCGAAGGGCTAGTAATAATTTTGGGCGCTATTTAATTTCTAAATGCAAAATAAGAATAGTAAAAAGAGAGAAAGGAAAAGCTGTAAACTACATTATAAACACATTATTTTTTTGTATACTGCAGCTTGTTAGGGGTTTTTTGCACCGAAATTAAGACATCATAAGAAAAAAATTGTTCAAGTGCCGAACAAGCCTCAAATGAGACTGTTGCTAAAAAATCCTGGAGGTACCTTTTTGCAAATCCAAGCAGATATGTTTTTGCAATTTAATATTAGTTTTTTTAAGTTTAAGTTTGAAATACAAATCGACTGGCGGAAAGGTACCCAAGTTATCCCTTGAGGCGTTCATTTCTGTTTCGGATAAGCTCAGATCGCGTGGGCATTCTTCTAAAGATTTTAAATCTCGTTTACTGCAATCGGCAAACATCAGATTCAAGTTGACAAATTTTTAATTTCGGAAAAGAACAGATTGAAGAACTGTTTGAAATATGGATAAAACTGGCACGGAACTATTGCCAAGTGAGATTCTCCAAAAACCACATGTAACTTTATTTCTAAAGTTTTTCATCCTTTAAGTAATTTAAACTTGTAATGTGCAATTCATATTTCATGGCTCATGTCACTCATCTTATTTTTTTATGTACAAAGCAATTTACGACGTTATGAAGCCTACAATTAGTAGCACGAATAGAAGTCAAATAAATAACAATACAATGTCAAAAAGCGGATGAAATTGTAACAACAACAACAACAAAAAGGATTATCCTATAATTCTCTTACCCATTTCATATCTGCAAAATATCTGTTACTTTATGATTACCTTCATTTTTTGCTTACATTTTTAAAATTTTGTACAAGGCTACCAGCACCTTTAACTGCTGAACATTCTATTTTAGAAAGAAAAGAGGCTAGTATACGTGTACTTCTCACTGACGAAGTCATTTTACCACCTGTCAGAGACAGCAAAAGGAAAACGAGGGATAGTCCATTACAATCCTCTGTGGATGTAGAACATGTCGAAAAAGGCGGAAATAGAAACGGAAAATTCAGCTTCTAAGTTGTTTTTCTTATTTGCACTAAAACGTTGAATAAAACTTCCAACTAGCACTATATTTTTACATATGAGCAGTGAAATGGCACATGGAAACATATGCAAAACTGTTACTTTATAACACGTAAAGTAATCTGTCAAAAATACTTTTCAGCATCTAGTTTTTTGCCACGCTGGCGTCAAAGCTATAATTTTTTTCTCCAGATAAATTCTTCTCGTAAGCTCCGTTATTTCAAACAGATACCGAATCAGCAAATAGCGATCTAGCAGATACCGAGGCGTCATTTTCTATTAACTTGCTTGATCCACTTTCCTATCCATCATTGGATTATGAACAATTTAGAATTCTTCTGCTTTCAGGAAAGCCAAAATTTCAGCTCTTTTGGGAATCGACTGAGGAGACGGCTGAAATTCAGACTTCTTTAAACAACACAAGTCATAATGCTCCGAAAAGGCCATCTCTAAAGGCCTCAGATCCGATCTGTCATTGTATATGCGATGAGAAGACTCATCATTATCACATACGGCAAGTAAGTATGCGTTAATGGGCTTTAAGGTTTAAAGCGTCTTAAAACAGTTCAATCACCTTACAGGCCGTTTTTTTTTTGTGCTCCTCACTGCATTGAATGGACAGGTCAGTGTTGGTCCTCTCATCTGATAGATTTCGACAATAGCCTAAATGACGCACCTTCCTTATATACTAAGTTTTGTAATTTTCCTCGCTGATCATCTATCACTTGACTGTGTTAGATCAGTTTCTTCTTAAGCCATTTGCCTTATCGCTAAAGCAAGTTATAAGAGCCCTTGGAATGTAAGTTACTTTTTTTGAAACGTCCAATTTAAGGTCTTCCTTTGGCTCAAAACTGTAAGTGAATAATGCAACTTTTTTCTTGAAACCGAACGTACTCACTTCTGCTTAAAAAGGTGCTTACATTGGATACGTTAAACTCTAAAATTGAACAAAAAGACGCATATCCCCTGAAGACAAACGCCCCTTAGCGTAACAAAATCATATTTGCCTTAATGGTCCTAGTTTTGAGCATTAAAATACTCAAGTTTATACTTTTCGTAAGTGATGGGAGTGGGAATGTGTGAGAGGTGGATGGGTCAATGGACTTAAGAATTTGATTTAACACAGTTTAACATTACGCCAGCATGAAGGTCAACAAATATAAACGGCAAAAATTGGAGTCAAGCAAGGAAAAATACTATCTTAGCTATGGTTTTCATTTGCTGTTTTACGGCGTAGCTTTCTAAGTGCTTTCTGTAATCGCTTTTGTGATCTTTTCCTCATCTTCTTCTCTTTCCTTTTCATCTTGTTCTTACGCTTCCATGAGTTGGAGTATCCTGGATGCGGCATTTTTCTCCCATTTCCAGTGTTACCAGCGTTTTCCTTAGTTCTGTATGCTCGTAGCAGCTGCTCAATATGATCTCGGAGTCCAATGTACAGAGAATCTTCCACATTCTTAGTTTGAATGATAATTTTTGAAGCTCGTTCAATGAACTGAACCGTTCTTTGTCCCCTCCGTCCTTTGTGTCCTGGCCTCATTTTGCCGCTTTTGGACACAGCTATAGTCCAATTTTCATTGTAGGCAGACACGAATTCTGTGTAGTGATTTTCAGCGTACTTCTCGTAAAAGACACACCTTCTCGACCTTGTGGCCTGCAAGAGAGGGCACATCGTTTTACTTCTGCTATTTTACCATCGAAATGATGAATATATGAATTTCATATATTTGACGAAACTCCGCAGTTCAAATGTATGAAATTTATATATCAAGTTCATTATAAATATTTTATCTTCATCTTTCGCGGGAGTATTACGAACCCGATTTAATGGCAGCTCCCAGCTGGCTAGCTGGCTCCACTGGTTAGAGCGTTTCACCGGTATCGCAGAGGACAGGGTTCGAATTCCGGAAAGCCTGAATTTTTCAGGCTTTTTTTTGGCAACTGCAATTCATTTTCACCGACTATCATTATAATCTGGTACTCAAAATCTTCCCTTCCGGGAACTTAAGAATTCAAACTCCCGGTTTTAATTGGCAAAGAAACGAGCTTTGTTTAAACAAAGCAAAAATATTAAACACTATTACCAGTGACAATAAGAATCTAAGAGTACAGGTAATCAATCTCAGCGCTCGTATAAAAAGTTTAATCTTCTAGTTCTTCCCGCCAAAGAAATATGTAAAAGGTTTTCAACGGTGTAAGAACTGCCACCCCTTTTGGGTTTTAGGGGAGATACACAACTAAGAAAAAAACAGCCTAGTGGAAAATAACCCGGTGACGTTTTCTCCGAGAACCTGGTGAAGATATATATTGCACTGGGTCTGTTACAGAGGGGTGTATTCTTAGCCCTGTTAGCTTTCATTTCACTAAGTTTTTTGTTCATTCATTTACCCTTTGCTCTGCCTCACTAGCATTCTTGCTATCAATACTGCTGAGGGTAAATAATTTTCCGTTATGTCATGTAAGAACGAAATGTATGAAAAGGAATCGACGGAATATTTATGTATATATTTAAAAACACAAAGTAGAAGTGTTGCTTGTACCATTTTTCCAGAAATAATTCTCCCGTATGTCAAACACTGGTTTACATGTTTGAGGCAAACACTTGAATGTAAGCATTAGTTACAAACACACTGGCGCTAGTTACGAAAACCCTCTTTTCCTGTCATCTCGATTTTATAGGAGTTGTGTCACGAAATTTACCATAATTCAAAAGGCGAGAGCTGCCACCAAATTGGGTGAAACATAAAAATAACAGCTCAAATCGTTAAAAAGGTATGAACAACACAGAAAATACAAAGAAATGCACAGATGAAAAACTTGAAGAAGATTAAAACGGATTGCAGTACTCATTATTGGGGTTTTTGAAAACGCTGTGGCTATATATGGCCGGTAACCGGTCAAGGTGTTGAAAACACTAAATGGCCGGCAGTCCTATATTCTCAGCAAATTTCACAAAATCGAAAGATTCTAGCTAATCTAAACTATCATATGTTGATTTAGAAAAGTCAAGCGATCCTGAAATGCTTTATAGATCTCAAGTCTAGTGTTTGGTTTACGCTCGGCTCAGGGGACGAAACCATGTTTTGTGACACTTAGAACTTTTTTCAGCTCGACTGCCGGTCAAGGTTTTCAAAACACTAAATGGCCGGCAGTCCTATATTCTCAGTAAATTTCACAAAATCGAAAAAATCCAGCTAATCTAAACTATCACATGTCGTGATCCTGATCAAATCAGCCGGTTTTGTGGGATTTCTATATCATGTTTTTGTTTGTTTGTTACTATTTTCTGTCCAAAGCATGGCGTGACAGGCGACGTTTGACGTCATACTATCTTGACCTTTCATACGGCCTTTTGCGGAAAACCGGCGGGAAAAGTCTCCACGCGTTAGTTGGTCTGCTGCTTCTGGAGCTGAAATACACTTCAACATTATCTTGTCGACGATTTTGTGAAGTTTACTGAGAATATAGGACTGCCGGCCATTTAGTGTTTTGAAAACCTCGACCGGCAGTCGAGCTGAAAAAAGTTCTAGGTGTCACAAAACACGGTTTCGTCTTCTGAGCCCGGCGTAAACCAAACACTAGACTTGAGATCTATCAGGGGCACCCAACGAGAATATAGTTCAAAACCACTTAAACATAGCATTGTTAAACTAATTTTAGTATTTAAACACTAGATATGGGCATATTTTTATCCCCTAAAAATTTTTCATCTGTTCGGATTTCCTAGCTGAAAGTCTAATGATCCGAAAATTATAGGGATCAAAACTTACCTTTTCGAAAATTTCAGCCAGAAAAAAGGCTCCCGAAAATTCTAGGTGACGTTTTAACGGTAAAAATCAGTTAAAAATGGGCAATTATAGCAGTTTTTAGATGTTCGAAAATCTTAGGAGAGGCAAGAAATTTTACAACAAATGTTCCGAAAATTCTAGATGTCAAATCGTCTTCCCAACAGATATTTTCCGAAAATTGTCGTTGGGTGCCCCTGATCTATAAAGCATTTCAGGATCGCTTGACTTTTCTAAATCGACATATGATAGTTTAGATTAGCTAAAATCTTTCGATTTTGTGAAATTTACTGAGAATGTAGGACTGCCGGCCATTTAGTGTTTTGAAAACCTTGACCGGTTACCGGCCATATAGCCACAGCGTTTTGAAAACTTATTAGGCTAACCGTTTTAAAAGTTCATTGTTGTTGTTTGTACCGTGTGATTTAGGAGAGATATTCGTTTGATACGGAGCTGTGATTTTTTCATTTACGATAAAATTCCTCGCTAACGTCATGTTCCTTGGCGAAAAAAATACCGGTGTTATTGGCAAGTTTAATCACGAGAGGAGCTTTATCCTCTCTTGGTTTAGTCCATGAACAAGACAGCCGTGCTGGAGACTGCCCCTTTGACTCAATTTCGAAGTTTTGGCGCCAAAATTCTCTTGTGCATGCCAACATCCTTGTTGCTTAATATGGCTTCCTCATACTTGCAATTAACTAGCTTTTATTGTGGCACCATCCGTGTGTTAGGACTTTAAGAGAGCTTAGAATTGAATTTGGAGCTTTTCCAACTTTTTTAAAATGGTTCAGCTAATTAGGTTTAAGATTAGTTTGATTTGATAAGGATATAATCCCCTAGGCGTCTCCTTGGATCTCCGAAAATTAAAAAAAATATTCTAGAAAAACCATGGATTATTATGTAGTCTGAAAAACTGTGAACGATACCTTTTTACTTTAAATATGGTTACAGTTCTTGATGTCTTATTGAGCAAGTTATTCAGAAACAGGCTGGACAGGTTGGACTGAATTAACACAAACTGACATTCAAATCAGTCGCAGCCAAAACCTACCATTTTGTCGAACTCATTTGACAGTTACTTCCATAATACGTTTGTTAAATGGTTAAGTATTTAATTTAAAAGGTTCAGTTGCTTATCACTTTTTGACATGTTCAAGAAATCCGTTTGGCTATCTTTTGTCCGAAATGCAGGGAATTTTCCCATGCGTGGGTTATATTGACCTAGTGTCATTCCAAGCCAAATATGTGGACAGCTTCACACGCGCAACGCCTTTTTTTGGAACCATAGCGGACACTACATTCTTCTTAGGAACACAAGTGACTTGGTGCACATAATTGTGCTAGAAAATGATTGGGCTCAGTAAGTACAATCCCCTGGAATGCTTTTCTCCAAGGGATGCAAATTTGCCAGATTCCACTGCATTATTTAATCCTTCCTATTATTAAAGAATACACAGCACACTGTAAACATTAGGGGCATAATATAATGAAATGACACAAGCAACAAGAGTTACCTTTCTGCCGATAAACGTTGCATTTCTTTTTATGCACAGGTAGTAATCAGTCAGCGCTCCGCGAATGCGTACCCTTCCGAAATTGTCCGATTCAATGACCAGTTTAGCTGCAAGAAAAAGAAGCAAGGATACATCATTTAGAAAACATTCTCATGACGTGTCAAACAACTCAGTCTGGTTTGTTTGCACAGGATAAAGTTCGAAAATTCTTTTCGGAAGCTTTTGCATTGTGTCTAAGAATGCCTTAATTTTTGATATGTGTTTCGGTTTATCAGCTTGGGATAGGCATTTTCTAATCCCTCATGCTCCCCAACTTCGTTAAAACCAAATAACTTAAAACAAGCTCCTGCCATTTTTGTTCTATAAACGAGCCTCGAAATGCATTTGGAAAAATGAGCGTCGTATTATAGAGCTTTTTCCACCGTTTTGGGAAAACCCTTTTCATAGACTTAACAGTGGATTTATTTTCGACCTCAGGCTTGACAGTTTTTTGACTAAAAGGTTTGATTGGGACCTCATAAAGCTATCAACAGAATATACTGACGCCGCTTAGGGCAAACAATAGTGTACTGGACGTAAATAGATTAAATTAAATTCCTCGCTCAGTTATGTGTCGACCTAAGTGTTTCTCTTAGGATTAGGCCTGTGCAGCAAATAACGTTCTTTTGAAGACAGTAGTGTCCTAGGCGGTCACCATCACATCCTGTTTTACTACGTATAAAGTAAACTGTGAATACCGTACATACTTTTTTGGTTCGGTTTAGTGATAGCATTAGCTTTTAACATTTCTCTGCTAAAATTGATCTCGTAATGATCAATGCTAAGTAAAGCCTCGCGAACCAGCTAAGCAAAATGCTTTTCACAGTAAACAACATTGAAAATCTAAGACGAGAACTTTTTATAAAATCAACGTATTTATCCTCATGAGATTTTCTTAATCACTCACAGAAAAAAAAATGTATATATATAAATATATATTGTAGGTTGAACTTGCATCTGAGTTACCAAATCTAATTGCAAAGTTATAGATACGTGCCTAGAAATGGAACAAAGTATTTTGAATGCGGGATATGCGGTTTAAACTGCTGCTATCAAACGTGCGGAATGAAAAATCACTTGTTAACACTCGAGATAATCGCTTTACTTCGTGGGGAGCCTTTAAAGAGAGTGTTTGACGACAGCTTTAAAGGCGTTAAACTTTCAGATAAACGTTTCAGAAAGTGTTCTTTCGATGATAACAACAAACAACATTTCTGCGGTGCAAGGAGCAAACTTAAAAGCAAAATTTGAGCGCTTAATATTTTATAACATTTTGTAAATACTGGCAGAATGTTTTGGGTCACCTTTTACTTCTGTCTCTAACTATACTTACCGTACTTGTCTCCATCCTTTCCCAAAGCATCAATTCTTTTTCCATGTATTCGAAGATGACTTCGACTGGAGCGCGAATACAATTGTGTTTCGCGGTGAAATGGCAAGCTTCTGGTGTCGCTTCGTCTTCTTTCCGTCTTGACGTGCTTATCAAAGTATTTCTCCCGATCCTGTGGTTAGATTTTTTGAAAGAATTTTATGCCATAAAACTGAGATAGATGCTTGCGGTTGATGCAAAAACAATAATATCTCTAGCGCGCTGGCTTACCGTGTGACCATGTCCCAGAATGAAGGTGATGAAGCAATTCCTAAAACGAACGGGAAATTGTGTCAATTTATAGATCGTTAACCGCTTATGCGTGGGAGAAATACATCAAACGTCGACGGTGAAATATAGAAAAATTTTCCGCTTCAGATGTTAAGTAAATTCGACAGTGTCTTATGTCAAAAAATCGGAGTGCTATACTTACAACGAGATAAACAAAAGGTATCGCTTAAATGTCGGCGTATACATTGAGCTCGTTTTGATGCGCGTGACTAGGAAGGCCAGTCGATTTAACATGATTAAAGCTGAGTGAGCACAACAACACAGCACAGAAGACAGAAAAATTTCCAGCATTCCAAAAACCCACAGTAGTTCTTCGCTCAATTATACCCTTTGTACTCGACCTCAAGGATGCCGCCGCCTTTCTTTTTGTGTCGATTTTGTTCCATTATAACGTGGTGAGAGTTTGTATGTACCATTGCAGATAACAAAATTAATTAAGGTAATCGCTTACAATTAGAGTTGCGGTAGGTGGGCTTGTCTGGTCTCCTTAAATAAACAACAACGCAGAAATAGAACAATTAACTCGTCACAATAGCATCGACGATTTAGAAGTCTTTCCATATTTTTTTTACCTTCACATTTGATCGTGCATGAAATTTAACGAGCAATTTGAACTAAGAACATACAAAGCCCGGCATCAAAGCCTCCCAAAATTTTCATTCAATTATCCCATCTGAGGACAAATTAACTGGGTGTTTAAGGAGGCGTTAAATGGGACTATTGTATCGTCACTCCGTAAACAGCGTGTCAACTCGTCACCTTTAAAAGTTTCTATTAGAAAATTTTTCAACTTTGGTACTCCACCGTTTCCTTCTTTAAGACTCAATGAATTTAATTTCAATGAAACCGTGAATCTCTAGTGAAAACATTGCGCTCCCGGGGAAGTGGTTGCATGAATGATCGTTATTCAGGAAGAACTCGCTGATCAATTAAGGTTCGCATGCAAAGGTATTGTAAGGCAAAAGGAACAGTTAACTCCCTGCTGAGCCAGAGAAAATACCACACTCGAGGAATAGGTATTTTGAAACTTATGACTTCGAAAAACAAATCAGATTAATAATATTATCATCGATATTATTATTTTGTTATTATTTTCTCGTTTATGTCATTATCATAATTAAGCTTTGTTTAATTGATTTAGTTAATCTAAATCTACGAACAACCGACGAAGTCTTGCTTTAGCCTTTTATTAAAACAGGATCAGTTAAGGACGAAGAAGGTCAATCGGCAGTAGGCATTTTTTATTTTATTTTTTATTTTCTTTTAAAGCAGAAGCCTTTGGATGAGATAGCTAGCATGGTCATATGCATTTCGCATTTTAGTTGAATTTGTTAATAACGAATGTAACAGTGAATTTTAATTCGATTTGGAAAGCTCGAATGCTTTTAAACTAGTTTTACGGAGCTTCTACCCTACATGCTATTTGGCATGGTGAAGACTGAAGATAAAGTTTTCGTGGGTAAACAGATTACATCGATATTTTTTATCCTTCTCTTCTTCGTCATTTTCAGTCCTCTCCGTGCACAGTAGCGTTCAGGGAGCCAACAAAAGATCTCCAATATCCCGGAATAGTCACCTCCTTGGCTAAACTAGCAATTAAGTGCCTCCCATTTCTTGCCCTGATCCTCTTTTTAGGATATTAAGAATACGAAACATGGAAAACCCAGTTTCTCTTCTCACGATGCCATTATTCGTGTCTGAATGTATTTCACCTTTCTAGTTTTCCTAATGTACGGGTTGATGGAAAGGAAAGGCACTTACCAGCCGAGGCTAGCTCACCTTTTCCCTTATTGGTTTCCAAAGGTGGAAACGGCTTGCTGCTATATCTTAATTAAGCAGGTTGTAGGTATCTTTATGTGCTTTTGAAAAACTCTGCCTAGTAGTGAGCCGCCTAGCTATAATTAAGAATCATGTGTCACTGTGTGGACGAAGTGCAGAAAGCACCCGGGTCAATTCACACACATGAAGTGCACCGTCTAGTACGCATTAGCTAACTTGCGAACTATCTCAGCCCCCACTCTCGGCGAAGCAAGGCAAATCCTTCATTTGGTTTAGATGAACACAGAAAAATGATTTTTCTTGTAAGAAACCTTCCGTTTAAAGAAGGTCAATTAATGGAGTGAAATGCGTAAATCTTAAAGACTGCAGACCGTGCAAGCGGATGACTGGTTGAAAACATTTTAGTTTCAGCCCTTTGTAAACGAGTGCACCTTCGAGTGGTCAGAGTGAAAAAATCATTAAAAAATAACAATTTAACCCTTCGTTATAAATATTGGAAACCAAAGTCAACCAATTACTAACTGATTATCTATCGTTTACCAATATGCCGCAACAAAGGAAATGCAGTTTTAATTTTGCCATATTGTAAGTTATCCTCACCGTTCATAACGCCGCATCATATCTTATCGCAAAATATGTGGTGGAAAACCGTTTCTAACCTTGCTATCAAGACTCAGATAAAAACGTCATGTCCTGACTTAGCCTCAGTTTAATATAATAGAGTACTATAAAAGATAGTTCTTAAGAAGACGATGCGCTAAAATATATTTTTGAATATACAATTAGTCATGCTTAGGAATCTAGTGTAGTCCTGCATTGACAAAATTGAGTGAGAAAATATCAAAGATAGTCAGACTAGGGAACGAAATTAAGACGGCTTTCAGACCAGTCATTGCCAATGTGTGTGTTTTTGGTTTTTATCTTCTTCTCTGCTCTTGTTGGATATTCAGGGGAAACTGGGACATTTGGGACGTAAGCCTTCCAAACGCAGTCATTCTACGATTGAAGAGTGCAAGTTTATCCCTCGTTGCAAATTTCAGATATGAGGAGTGGCATGGGACTACGGTATAGTCACTATAGACGAGATTAACTTCCTTTTCGATACCGTCTATTTAGAACCATTTATAGAAAGACTTTGATCAGGGCCAAGAATATACCCTTTCTGTGGTGATTAGCCGTCTAACGGTATTTGCATTTTCTGTACCCTGTGCCGCATAAACATTGCATACTCGTATACTCGTTGCTCAAGCACGTGGGATATTAAGAATGAAACAACTTTAAAAAATTGTAGAGCTCAAGTCTAGCTCAGGCTGTGTTTTGGGCGTTGTGGACCACAAAAAAGAGTAAACTGGATTATCAACAACTCAAGAACAAGTGTAACACGTTTTGAGGCTAAAGACATGAAAATTTTAAGAAGATTTGAGTCGGTTTGCCCTCAGCGAATAGAAAAAATATACCAGCGTTCTGGCAACAAAAGAGAGCTGTTAATGTATTAGAAATCATGGAAAGCCCAGTACCTCAGCAATAAATCAAACACAAGCTGTCATCGAAATCCCCCCTTAGGAATGCAGAAAACTTTTCCTTGCAATGTCAAAGGATTATGACCAAGCCTAAGTGACCACACCTCGAGGTTAATTAACACAGGATGAAATTGGGCGTCACCAACAATCGTTCGCAATTCTCACGAAACCTTTGGACCACACGTACTTTGGAACTTGTATGATAAGTTTCTCTGTTAAGTTTTTGCCTTTTCTATAAGTCACCATTGATTTAGAGGTCCAAAGCCTGAAGCACAAGATACGGAGAAGCAAGCGCTTTGACTTTCTCTCTTTTGAGGGACCTAAGAAGCAGACCAAGTACCATCTCATTAATTTTCCATCTGGTTTCTGTTATTTTATGCTTGACGCATTTCCAATATTCATCTATCAAGGTGGATCTTACCTTAATCAGTTTTTTTACTAATGCCAATAACAGCTGTTTATATCAATATACACTGCTGGTAAGATCACGGATAACAAAGATATTGTAACGGAGGCCTGAATACTATTGTCAGTAATTGCCAACCCATACTAACTTGATGATCATCTAAAGCTATATTCCGCTCAGTCCAGCGAAAATGTTTCATTTGTTCAGTTTGAGAGTACATTTCAAATAAGAGATTTTATAAGCCCGATCAATTTTCTACTCACTTTACTAAACCTTAAAATTTTAGAGTTATAGCTTAAGTTTCGCTTATTTATAAAACAAAACGTTCACTTACATTAGAAATGTAATTGGATCATTATATCGGCGTTTCAGGGACACTGCCCCCCTACCCCTCCCCTAAGCCAACATTTTGCCCTAAGTAAAAGTAAGTGTTAATGTTGGCTTAGGGGAGAGGTGGGTGGGCAGTTTCCCAGAAACGTAAAATGATCCAATTAAAGGTGCTATAAGATAGCTCATAAAATGTATTTAGGAACATATTAATATCAACCCCTCTTTTCTTGAATGCAGATAATACTTCTTTTGAATAAATATTAAGTCACATACGCCAAGCGGTGACCAGCAAGTATCGTTGAGTTAGCAAGAGTTTTTTCAGACTGTGAGGTTCAGTAAATAAGTAAAACTGTATCTGAATTTTCCACCTTGAAAATCTTTCCTGTTTATTATCAGTCACAATTTCACAGAGAAACTCTTTTTATCAGTTTTCTCAGCCACTCCTTAGCTATAGACCAAAATAAGTCGGATCATTAGGGGAGGGGTAGGTGGGCAGTTTCCCAGAAACGTATAATGATCGTTTTTAAACACATTTTAGTTGACTCGACTAGTTAAAATCTTTATTGTTAAAAGTAATCGATAAATTCACATTTACGGTCAATGGCCAACGCACAGGCATCAGTTCACGTTGCAAAGTCCAAGCTGCCGGCCTCCGCCATCGTCAGTTACCGTAAGACCCGGGGGGGTACTGCCATATATGGGCTATATAGGTATGTGCCGCTGTGAAGGGTATTTTTTCAAGCAGTTTACTCTAGGATAGGGTATATAAATAAGAGCGTTTGAGTCTAGAATAGGGTATCATTTTTCAGGAAACTGATCAGTTGGTTGAAGATTTTATCTAGACCAGGTCCCTAAACACTCTTCACTTGGGGATTTGGGGAGTTTATTCTAATATAAATTCAAAATTCAGCTGAACTAGCTCTGGTAAAGGTTAAGGTTCAGGTTCCCGCACATCCCAAACCCAAACTGCTGGCCTCCGCCATCGTCAGTTACGGTAAGAGCCGGATCCCTATCTCTTTGACTATAAATTTTCGCTTCCAACATCTTGCTGCCTATGCACTCGTGTTTGAAAATGAAGCATATAACAAAACACTTAACTTATTTGTTAATCGCAACGCCTTGTTTGAAACGAGAAGCCTTGTTTTGCGTACAATTGTTGAAGCTTCGATTTTCGGACGTTCCATTATGTTCTACTGCTAAAGTGTTCGATTGGCACAAATTTTAGGTGAGCTCGATTATGTTCGATTACCGAACCCAATCGAAATCAATCGAACGATTGGAGTGCGATCTGGCTCGATTGACTACGCCTGGCCAACATGATGGAGTTGCGTAAGATCTCATTCGGCAAAGTTTTCTTTAAGGCAGCTGAATAAGATATACAGAATCCT